GAAAGGATACTTATCCGAGTGAGACATCTGAGAAGAATTGCAGTTTCAATACGAGCTCGTTAGAATTTAAGTAAGATATTTTCAATCTCGTACATATATGACAAAATAGGAGAAAATGTACATGAAAAAAATAGAAAAAAATTAAGCAAATGAACTACTCTTCATGTAATGTACATTACCTTATACATCACGTGATCAATATTGTCCACTTACCTTATTCTTTGTATCGTATTCCTTCTTCTTTCTTCAGATCAGATTGAAATTATCTTGAGTAAATGATTAAATCTGGCTGTAGTTTGATTGCATTTTGATCAGAAATCAATATGAAAAAGAAAAAATCCTCCTCTAGCCGATTTGATCATTGTTAACAATATTACATTTGATTGAAATTAAACACGCAAGTCGATATTGAAAAATGTAAGACAAAGAGAAATTAATTTAAAAAAATTAAAAGTTGCACAAAAGTTGCACAAAATTTCTCCGTGACATTATATTAATTTGGAATTATATTTAAGTCTAGAAAAAATTTACTTATCGCATTATTCTTATATATATTTCATTTTGATCAATAGACTTTCTTCTATATATATATATATATATATATATATATATATATAAAATTAACAATATCTCTATATATATATGTATATTTATGTATATAAATATATATATATATAAAATATATATAGAAGAAAGTCTATTGATCAAAATGAAATATATAAAATTAAAAAATTAATGAAATTAATAAAATTAATAAAATCTTAAGATAAAAAATCAATATATAGCAAAATAGTATAGAGAACATTTTTCGACGCATAATAAAACATGCACATCCATATCAAACTTTCAAAGTACATCAAATAAAATACATAAAATAAATGGCATGAGATCCCAAAGAAATAAATGTCTTGTGCTTCAATGTATAATGACTAATTATAAATTAATTATTATATGTAATATAATAATTATCACTGCATAGATAAATATAAATATTTACAAGTTTGAATATGTGATGCCATTCCTTATTTGATATTACTTTCACATAATATAGTATATTACTATTAAAATATGTATATTTTTTGTAAAACAAGTTATACCAAAAAAAATACTGAAACATTTTTAAATTGTATTTATGAATAACAAAAAAAAACCATTCAAATTTTCCACCAATTAGCATACAACAATATGGAGGTACATAAATAAAGAGAATGTTCACAAACACACTTAAAATGTCATAGACGTATCCAAATTCATTTACTATTAATTATTATGTGTGTGCGTGTACGTGTATGCCAACAAAGCTTATAAAGCTGTAAATAATTCAACAAAATATATTCAGCGAAAATAATTAATAAAATAATTAATCGATTATAAAGAAGGAAACATAGCAAAAATTATAAACAAAACAAAGAAATGGCAATACAAAAAGAAAATGCAGGTAAAAAAATTTAAATAGTATGAAACAAAAAAAATTTAATAGCAACAAAAAAATAATAATTTCTTAAATGTTAAAAAAATATAAATGAAGAAAATGTAGTAATAACAATTTCATAGTGAAACGTATTTTTACTGCATCGCTGAAAATCGAAAGTTTCTATGGCAACACAGAATTTAAACCAAATCTTGTTCAAAATCAGTCTGCTAGTAACAATGACTTCAACATAAATTAATGACGGCGATCATAAAAATACTATTAAAGATAAAACATTATTATAAAAAATAGGTTACCAGAAAACCAATCTAAAAGATTCTATGATCCTAATTCTGTAATAAATCTCTAATATCGCATTTCATACAGGAAAAAAATTATCAATTTGTTGAGAATTACTTGTCTTTACTGCAGTTTCTTTGTGGCACGTGTAAAACAAAAGTGCGGATTAAGCGACAAGAGTTGTAGAGATTTACTATCGACGCGGCAGATGTGGAACCGACAGTGAGATCGTTGCGAATACGGCCGGCTTCTCGT